AAGTGCGTAAGCAAAAATATTCACAATTGTATTTTATTACCATCATTTGTGTTGAGTTTCATTCATACACATGTATTGATCCTCTTCTTCGATTTAGATCTGGCAGCTGCGGGGTGAGCTCCTACCACATGATTGCATAAAAGCAATTCAAGAGGAATTGGTGGGATTCTTTTTTGACCACGTCATCAAGAAAGCCGGAGAATACCATGTGGCACTTGACTTCAGACTTTAAGGATTGTAATAGATCTTATATTGTATATATGTAGCTAGTAGCGTCGGATAGATATACGAAAACTTGTTGTTCAACCAATCTCTTGGAGAAGGAGAGGTCGATCACTTCTCTCTGTATATGTTCATGACGATCTTCTGTACTTAATGGTTTCCTTCATTTTCTTACTAGCTAGCTAGCGTGTCGAGTCCTCTCTATACGTATAGTACGTAGCGTCGACCAACCACGGAGATAAGAAAGGACACTTCTCTCTATTAGCTAGCTAACACAATATATGAAACCCCTAAATTAACTCTACAAACCCCCCAAAACCCCCAACCCCCCCCTCCCCAGAAAAAAATAAAAACCCCAGCCCCTGAACTGCTGACGCGTGGAATCCTTTTGGTCCCGGTTGGTGGCTCCAACCGGGACAAAAGGCCCTCCTGCCTGGGCAAACCGCAGCGGCCACGTGGAGACCCATCTGTCCCGGTTCCTGGGCGAACCGGGACTAAACGTATTGGGCTTTAGTACCGACCCTTTAGTACCAGTTCGGCAACCGGGACAAATGGGCCTCATGGACCGGGACAAATGGGGCTTTTTCTACTAGTGTCAGAGCCTCTATTTTGAGAGCTCGGCCGATGTCTGACATGAGGGCATCCTCGCGGCGCTCGGGATCTTGGAGGCACGGGGAACGGATCCCGTACAGGAGGTCAATCTGGGGCTAAGATCTATGTTTGTGGGATTGCGTGAACTGATTCAGGTAAAGATTCTTAGCAAAGATTAACCTGTTTGATGGTGCTCCCCTCCAATTGTATTGTGATAATCAAGCAACTATCAAAATAGTTAATAACCCGGGCCTTCATGGGAGAACGAAGCATATAGAGATAGATAGACACTTCATAAAAAAATTAGATCAAGGAGTAATGCAAGTCGTGTTTGTGAAGTCTGAGGATCAGTTGGCTGATACCCTAACTAAAGGAGTTTGTAACGTGACTTCTGTAAAACTCCGTAGCAAGACGGGGCTAATAAAAATTTCCGTCCCATCTCAAGGGGGATTGTTAGAGGGTTGAATGCTATTGTTAGGTGTAGTAAGGACTAAATTCAAAACAAGCGAGTGTGTGTGTTGTGCATGTGTGTGTGTGTGTGTATGGATATATGTAGTTTATAGGCGGAAAGAAGAATGAATAAGAAAGATAGCAGAACTTACCTGAACTCTCCGCTCTCTTCCTCTCAACCTATTGGTTATGCTCCTAATTTTCAAGCCGCAGACATAGAGAGAATTGATTGGCTCCATGTTTGCACGCAGGCTCAATCATTTTTTGACAAAAGATAAATTTTATTGGTTTAAAATAAAGCATCAAGAGGATATAAACAAAATGAGCACACACACAATCTCTATACAGCCAACACCAACACCAACATATGCACACAAAAAACACGTCAATAAATAGCAAATATATATAAAACAAAGCTATGCGTAGGCGAGGAGAAAAGAAAAAGGAAACCAAAGAGGTCATATATGTGATCGGCAAACTACAACAATGACTAATTCAGACCAATTATCTCATGACACCACATGAACGACAAAGTTCTTCAACAACAACTCCTTCGGAAAGAGAGCCACACTTAAGCGCTCACATCGCCATATCCAGAATTTAGGTATTCACTCCGAAGATGAGCCATGCCTTCAACAAGGTAACGACATCAAAACATCGTCATTACCAGGTATAATCAACTTGGATCATGCTTAGTCTTTTATCCTGGATTTCGAGACCGGATGCTTGAGTAGCACCACCATCGAGGTCAGTCATGCGTTGCCGCCATCATTTTCCAACGATCTCAGCACCTACATGATGCGACCGTTGCCACTGCACAACCACCCCTATGCTTTAGCCGTCATACATGGTTTAGTTCGCTTCTCCAGCCAAAACCAAACCATCTATGATATGAAGAGAAAAAACTCTTACACAAAGACCTTTCGGTTGCCACCGCAATCTGCAGTGATGCGGCCGCCTCTGGCCGGACGAATTTATGCCCGTGAGTCCGTGAACCTTGCTGTTTCCCCTACAAAAAGGAAGCCATTTTCGACCTTGCGTCCCAAACAGGGCACTGTGCGTGTGTTTGTCACCTCAACGTCCGTACTGCCGTGTCGGACGAAATTGCGTGCCCACGTAGTACATATCTTGCCATCGGTCCGTGCAAATTCTTTGGTGTTTCTATGTACAGTATGTATGACACAAACGTTGCAAAGAGATTCCACGTCGTTGCCATTTTTGTTTTCATTTCAGGCGCAAAGCACCAAAGAAATTAGTTTCTTGCGTCCAAAAAACAAAATCATTGTGTGCTTGTCACCTCGGCGTCCGTATTGCCGTGCCAGAGGAAACTTTGTACCGACGACAATTTTCACGGAGAGAAGTGCGTCGATCCGTGCAAAGATTGGTTGCCAGCTTCGCATTCATGTGACAGACGTTGAAAAAATATCTCATCATCCACAGTGCTAAAAGGGCCCTGCTAGGTGCCGGCCGATCGGCCCAGATGCCAGATCGGTCCCGTCTCAGGACCGTTGGATCATGCACGGTGAACGCCCACGATGGACTCATGGAACTTGGAATGTGAGGGCAACTCTAATACGCGACCTCAAATGGTCCGGTTGTGTTCGTTTGGGGTAAACGGACACAAAACAAGGTCAAACGCGTGGGAGCAAACGGATATATGCCCGTTTTCGATCCGCTTTCGACCCATTCTCGGTCAAAATTTCAGCCGTGCTTGCGTCGAAACGTACAGCACATGAACGAGCGGGACACGTGCCCTTGTCCTCCCGTGGCCCGCCCGTTGGGGACACACGCATCCCACTTTCCCTCCATTTCACCAAAACCCTCATGTGCCCCTCTCCCCTCCCTTCCCTTCCTCTTACATGGCCGGCGAACGGGTCGCGGTCGCGCGCCCCACTGCGAAGAAGAAGGGTCCCAAGAAGCTGCGGTCGGAGCTCACGCCGGTGGAGCTTGCCCAGCTCGACTGCGAGTCGACCAAGAGGAGGAACCGACGAACAAAGATGGCGGAGAAGAAAGCCACTAGCAGCTACGCCGCCGAGGCGGTCGTCCTGCGTGCCACGCAGCACCAGGCCGACGTTGACGACAAGGAGTCCATCATCGCCAAGGCGCACACCCTCCTCATGTTAGGGTTGTGCAGACCCCCGTCGGCCATTCTCTCGGTCGCTACCATGGCCGCGACGAGCACAGGCTCATCGGTCATTCGTCCTCCACAATACCGGTCCCGGAGGAGACGCCTAGGTATCATGTGCCGCACCTTCATGGCCATGGCCAGACCCGGTTCTCCACGTCGCCGGACGGCAGCATGGACGCGCCGTCACCCCCACCATCCCCATCGCGGGTGTCATCGACCTCAACGTGACGCCGGGGTACAGTGGCGCTGGCCAGCCGTCCGATGGGACGCAAAGGAAGCAGCCTGGGTCGACTCCTACGGCCAACCTTGCCGGCACCCGTAAGTTGTTCAATGAAATGTCACTGCCGACGCCGACGGTCAATGACCCTGACTACGCCGCTTTCATGGGGAATGTCATCTTTGAGGGCCGTGGTGAGGCCTTCAACGTCATGGAGGAGGCCGCTAAGAGGAGCAAAGAGGCTTGACATGGAGGAGGAAGCTTGACATTGATGAGGCCGCTAAGAGGAGGAAGCTTGACATTGAGGAGGTCGCTCAATTGAAGAAGCTCGTGATCGAGGCCATCAATGCCGACACCAAAGCAAAAGAGGTGGCGCTCGTGATCCTAAGCACAAGACCAACATGTCACCGAAGAGGAAGGTTTGATTCGCGAACCGGCAGAAGGAGATGTTCGCCAAGATGGCCTGAACTAGGTGAGTGGCTCCGACCATGGACTATGACCGTGCATTTTGAAGGCTGGCTAGTGTGCCGACCGCTGGCTTTGTTGTCGGCGCCAAATACTTGTTCATTTTGAAAGCTGGTTAGTGTGCCGGTGGCTGGCTTTGTTGTTGACATCAAAAACTTTATTTTGAAGGTTGACTAGTGTGCGGCTCCTGGCTTTGTTGCCGACGTCAAAAACATGTTCATTTTAAAGGCTAGCTAGTGTTGGCTTTGCCGGCATGAAACTAGATGGTGACCACTCTGTAAGCAAGAAAACATGCGCTGCCTTTGTTGCCGACCAGCATGAACCTCGGCTGCTGGCGTGAACTACAGCTGTTGGCATTATGTTGCTTTAGAAAAATTGCACGCAACCGGACAATATGCGACCGTGCGCACCTCTCACTCCCTCGCAGCTTCTTCGGTCCTAGCACGGCCGTCTGACAGCTCCAACACGACAGCTCCCTTGCAACTTCTCCAGTGGTCGGACCCAGCAAGGTCACCCACGCGTCGCAGTAAGACAGTGGCTAGGCCGAATGACCAAAACAGAAGGGCGGGGGACGAGCCCTGGGACATGCGGCACGCAACAGAGTGACCAGCATAACCCACAAAAAAAAAACAGAGCTGATGGCCGATTCAGCTTATTATGTTTGCCAAAAGGAACGGCCATTGGAGAGAAAAGCAGACATGATTAAACAGCAACAAGAGCTAACGATAATAGCTGATATATGTTCAGTAGTAAACATTATCATTATTGGCTTGCAAGCTCAAGTCAGGGGGAGGAAACACAGTAGCAGCTGCTCCACCGCAAAATTACTAGCATAGTACACATAATAAACACAGGAGAGAAAAAAGGGGTCTCTTCATCGTTGCTGTCTTCCTCCACGCCCAGAGGAGCCACACATCGAGATCTTGCTTAGGCAGACTTCACGGTGGCGGCGTTGATGATGTCGATGAACTCAGGCTGCACGAGAGAGAGGAGACCAGTGTTTAGTCATATGGGTGCAGATAAGCCAGGCATGATGATGATGAATACTCTACTCTGTTTGTGTCTTGTGTTTACCTTCAAAGAAGCTCCACCAACGAGGAAACCATCGACGTCGGGCTGCCCGGCCAACTCCTTGCAGCTTGCGCCAGTTACAGATCCTATAGCAACAAGGCGTGCATAACCATCATATATCAAGATGACTTCGGCAGTAAATGTGTAGACAAGGAGGCATTTGTGTTCGAACAATGGGTATACATTACCTCCATAGATGATCCGTGTGGATGCAGCAACCTCAGGGCTCACATTGGTCTTGAGCCAGTCCCTCAGATTGGCATGGACCTGCCAACATAGAACAAGTCCGAGTATTAGCCAATGGAAAATATGTTTGGAATCAAAGGAGCACACATCAATCTTCAAATGCATTAACACTTACTTCCTGCGCCTGAGCCGGTGTCGCAACTTTACCAGTGCCAATGGCCCACACTGGTTCATACGCGACGACCACGTTAGTCCAGTCCTTGATCTTGCCTGCAAAACAATCAATCATCTCAGCCTACACTATCAGGTGATATTTTAATATTATATACAAAGTCTGCATTGGTCACAGAAAACAGGTATGGCAAAGCATAACATGTGGATTCATCCAACCATGAACAGAAGATATGAGCAATTTGTGATATGCATGTTCAAAGTAAATAGCAATGCCGAATTGATCATAATGGAAGTTACTTTGAGTTTGTTTCTTCACTTTATAGTCTTAAAGTATGTCAAGATTTAACCAACGTGAAGTAAAATGGTCAATGAAGAAACAAATGTAGCTAGCTTTTGCAAGCATAAACTTCATGCCAGGAAATTAAACACCCAAAGCTGAGACCATTCATCACAAACCATCAAGATCATTGGTAAGAAGATAAACACAATGATACAACAATTCAAAGGTAAATTTGTGTATGTTCACAAACTAAAGGTTCGTACCAGTAATTGCTTTTGTCTGTTCAGCGACAACTTCCATGGTTGATCCAGCTTCTCGCTGCTCAAGAGTCTCACCAACACATGCAATGACCTTCAAGCCCTGAGCGAGTGCATATGCAACCTTCTCTCCAACAAACTGCCATTCAAGAAAGGGGAGACGATTTAACGCTGAAAACTCTTTAAATCAGTCAGGTCATTGCAACTATTTACAGAAAACAAAATCAACTGCAACGAATTATCCACCAAATATATTGCAGGAAATCCCCATCAGAATAATAGTGATTTTTCCACAAGTTGGTGTTACCATAATATTGTAGGTTTGTCTTCCAATAGCAGTATTTCATAGTTTGGTTGTTTGCTGCATTTGCAAATGGAAAGGCACCTGATTTATGAATAGCATGGTGTGAAAAACTGCAGCATACCTCACTTGATTCTCCCATCAAGCTCCTCCTTTCAGAGTGTCCAAGAATGACCCAGGGAACGCCGAGGTTGACAAGCATCTCAGCACTGCATTAGCAACAGGTTTTGAACCAACATATAAGTTGAATGGGGAATAAACGAAACAGAAACTGATGCAAACATAAGAACTATTCATCTGGTTTAGATATTAATCACTAACCAAATCTAACACCAATACAGAATGTGTAAAGAAAACGAATGAACATTGGTTTAGAAGTGAGAGTCCTATTTCTAGGACGTGTTAAAGCGAACATGTGAAAACAGCATATGTTTGCCTTGCAGGTTTGTAGTTAATCCATGGCATTAAAACATATTGGCAGAGAACTGAATGATAACCTGACTTCACCGGTGAAAGCACCGCCCTTCTTCACCCAGCAGTTCTGAGCAGCAACTTGGATCTCTGGGCGCAGCTTAGCCTTGACGGTGGGAAGGAAGACATAGGGTGGGCTGACAACAACCTCTGCAGTTCATAAGTCAATAAAAACCATAAGTACATCCCGCAATGCAGCTTTAAGCGTCGCCAAAGTTTGGCGCAAGGTGACCAAAATATATAAGGCCGGGCACAGGGCAGCATCCATACCGACAACATCCGTAGAGGCGATCTGTCCAGCGTTCAGAGTATTGACGATACTCTCTACCTGTTCGACAGTTCCATTCTGCACACATCAAGAAGATTCATGTCAGCATCAAGAATCAACTCATCAGAGATAACTCAACACTAAACAGCTAGCAAGAACAAACTGCCGAAGCAGGTAACAGCTAGCGAGATCAATCTGTTTTTCAACCTACTAGATGAGCTTCTTCTACACACCCAGGAAATAACATGCCATATCATCTGACCCCAAGCTAGATGCATACACAGTAATAATAGCTCTAAGCACCCCCAAAAATAAGCGCAGGTAAACTAATGATGCATCAAACGATCAAATAAGACGAGATCATTGGAATTATCGCCCAGATCTTCACAAGAAACCCCACCTTCCGACCATCGCATCCACCACCCAGACTTCCCAATTAATAAAAAAAAGAGGGCGCACACACTAAAACAGCTAATCTCTGCACCGATCTGAACCGAGAGCGGCGAAGCTACCGCTCAAATCTAAGGACAATCTTCCCGATTTCACACTCGAATAACCCTCCAGATCCACCAAGCAGCACACCCGATTCATCCACGCCGATCCATCCACCCATCCAACGGGAAGGAAAACACGGAGCTACGGCGAGAAATAAGAGAGATCAGGGGGGGCGAAACCACGTACGCATTTCCAGTTGCCGCCGACGAAGAACTTGCGGCCCATGGCGACGGAGGAGGGGATCGGATCGGGTTGGGACGGGCGGACGGGAGAGGGGGGCTCGAGATTGGATTTGGTGGCGTTTCTTTTCTTCTTGTGGAGGAAGAAAGACACGGCGGGGGCAGGGGCGAGGATATAAAGGGAGGGGGCTGCGATGTGGCCACATGAGGCCGGCCGGCCTCGGGCGACCATGACAGGTGGGCCCCGCTGCCACCACCGGATTTTTCTGGGTTTCTCTCGCGCACACAGCTATTATTGGGGAACAAGAAATGTGTGTCGACAGCTATGCGCACGCCAACAAGAGAGCAATGGTAGTGCTTAATTAAATCTTGCTGATCTGTTCCTTGTTTTGGCATCTCCAAAGTTGGTTATTTGTTATCACAAAAAAGATTTGTTTTTTTAACACAGTACAGATGCAAGCACTCATATAAACGCGCATAGACACACCCCTATGAACGCACATACGCACACCCTATCTCTATGAGCACCTCCGAGAGATTGAGCCGGTGTATCATCGCGCCTCGTAGTCGACGGGAATGTCTCCTCCCATAGAAAGCGTATCACCGGAAATCCTGAAATAAATTCAGGATAAATGCGAGCACCGGGACTTTAAACCCTAGTGGGCTGGGCCGGAAATCCTGAAATAAATCCAGGATGAATGCAAGCACCGGGACTTGAACTCTAATGGGCTAGGATTTGAACCCTGATGAGTTGGGGATACCACCGTCCATCTAACCTTTTCAACAGGTTGGTTCGCAAAAGAATTGGTTATTTCACCCGTAAAAAAAGAGAATTGGTTACTCCCTCCGTCCCAAAATAAGTGTCTTAATCTTGTATTAACTTTATACTAAAGTTAGTACAAAGTTGAGACACTTATTTTGAGACGCAGGGAGTATTTTTTAAGCAACATATACTCTAGTACTGACACATGCGATTTACATAATTGTAGTAATCATATACTCCCTCCGTTCCTAAATATAAGTCTTTTTAGAGATTTCAAATGGACTATCACATACGGATGTATATAGACATATTTTAGAGTGTAGATTCACTCATTTTACTTCGTATGTAGTCACTTGTTGAAACCACTAAAAAGACCTATATTTAGAAACGGAGGGAGTACTATTAAGTAAATGGTCTTGAGAACGAATCTTAGGATACTGACATTTGTGTCTAGTAAAATCTGAATGAGAAGAGCTATAGATGATCGTGTATCAAAATAGGCTCCACCGAAAGCAACGGAGGAAATAAAAATTATCTAGGGGGCATTTCAAATGACAAACTTCAGTTGAAATCTCTCATCTCAAGTTGTTGTATTCGCTCCCGATAATCCCATTATAATTTGATATTTTTGTTGCGGCTTTTTCGGACCTCACGTATTTACCTTCTTTTATTAGAAGCACGATACAATGTGTCCCTTTGCCTCTCGGCGCTCATTCTTTACTCAACACTTCAACAGCCATCTCATGTACTCCTTCCGTTCGGAATTACTTGTCTCAAAAATGGATGTATCTAGAACTAAAATACATCTAAATACATTCATTTTTAGGACAAGTAATTCTGAACGAAGGGAGTAAAAATCATGTAGAGTCGGAGTTTTTAATTGGCCGCGTAATAGGCGGCGCCAAAGTATGACTTGTTTTCCAATCAATAATTGCTCCTCGCTATGCCACGAGCATCACATATTTTGAAGGGGAGGCGCCAAAGTATGACTTGTTTCCCAAGCCAATAGAAAACAAGAGTCACCAGGAGATGCTCTTCTATTATTACGGTATTTTTAAGAATAAATACGGAGATGCTTTTGCTTGGGGAGCAAGACGGGTGGCCGTAGCAGCAAGAAACGAGACAGTGGGCGGCATTTTCTTTTCTTTGGGCGTAAAAAACAGCGGGCGGCATATGCCGTGGCGGATGGTGCGTGCTGCGCTGATGCGCATCTGCCTTCCTGACGATTCCCTGGGCCTCATCTTCAAGTGACGGGGCTGAGGGATAGCTTAGGAAAGAGCCCACACGTCTAGCTCTGGTATCTAAATGGCCCGGCCCATGTAGGGTTTTTTTCACGGCTTCTCATTTGGTTTTTTATTTTTATTTTTTATTTTTTCTTTCCTTCTGCATTTTCTGCCTTTACCAAATTCCTAAAAATTTCCCAATTTTGCGAGTTTTTCCCAAGAAAAAACTTTTGTGAATTTTATTTTTATAATCGGTGAATTTTTTTCTCAAATTTGTGAACTTTTCCCAAATTTTGTGCACATGTTTGTATTACGAACTTTTTTCAAATTTTGTGAACTTTTCTCCATTTTAGCGAACCTTTTCTGAATTAAGAACTTTCCAAGTCTTGAACTTTTTCAAATTCGCGAATTTTCTCAAATTAGCAAACTTTTGTTCCAAATCTTATGAGATGTTTTGAAATTAGTGCTGAACTTCTTTAAAAATTGTTGGGGAAACAATTTTTTTGAACTTTGTGAAATTTTTTCCCTTTTTTGGAAAGGTCAATTGTCAACTCTCTGTGGTCAACATTCGACGGTCTCCGGTGGCCGAGTCAACGGTCGTAAGTCCACCAACAAACCATTTTTTAAAAAGAACTCATTTTGGTCTAACCATATGCTATGTGTGTGAGCGCCACTTTTCCTAATTGACGCCAAAGACGCCAATTAGGAGCTCTCCAAATGTTGTTGGTTGTTCATTGCATTTTCCACTAAACGCTATTACCAGGTCGGGCATTTAGCAGGTGGAAGCGCCTCCCTAAAGAAAGCAGGTGGAAGCGAGAGACAAAAGCTGGTTTTAGAAACCTTTTGAGCCTTCCATCCAGTTTTATTAATGTTTCAACTGGTTTTACTTTACTTTATCATTTTCAGATTTAATCCATATTATGTGTTTCTATTTTTTCCTTTTGCTTTAAGGACTTTCACAGACTTTTCGAATGTCCAAGCATTTTCTAAATTCACGATTTTTTTTTCAAATTTGTGTACATGTGTTGAATTCATGAATATATTTTGAACTCAAAAACATTGAAAGATTGTGAACATTTTCTTAAATTCTCAAATATATTTCAAATTTTAATATGTATTCAACCTACTACTATTTTTAATAATCGAACATTTTTCAAAAACACATGAATATTTCAAAAATTCGCAAAAAAAGTCATTCTTGAACATTTCTTCAATTTGCGAGCAACTTTTTAAAATGCTTGAATACTATCACTTTCTGTGAATATCTTTCGAGCCTGTGAAAATATTTAGAATTGATGAAAAAATCAAAATAATAGAACACTTTTTGAATTCGTTAGCATTTTCCAAATTCGAACATGTTTAAAACTTTGTGAACATTTTTTAACTTCATGAACAAATTTTCAAATTCATGGGTATTTATAGAACTTAAAAACATTTTTCGAATTTCATACGTTTGTTTAAAATTCATGAACATTTTTCAAGTGCAACAGATTTTTTGCAAAAACATTAACTTTTAAAAAATTATGATTTTTCCAACTTTGTTAATATTTTTGAATTTAATTAAAAACCTTATCGAAGTTAAGAACAAAGTGATGAAAATGGGAAAAAATGTGGTCGCTCGTTGGTTGGTGCTTGGGCACTGACTTATCACTCGCCCAGGTCCAAATACGCAGTGGATGGCTGGAGCGGAGGCACGCACAAAAGCGACAGTTGCCTTCCCGCTCGCTGCAAGCAATGTATAGCACTGCCCGCGCTAACGATCGATCATGTGTATTTACTGCCCTTGAGAAATTGTATGTACCGTGCATTGCTATTTGATGCTCTCTGCGTCAAATACGAGTGCTGACACATAGCGTGTGCTTTGGTGGGCCATCCCATGTAGCAACATACTGATGCGAGTTTTAACTCTCTTTTTTTTGGTTTCCCATGTTTTTTGTTTACTAGCAAATATGCCCGTGCATTGCAACTGGAGAAAAACTATCAGATTATGCAGGTTCCATAAATATAAAAAAAGTCTGAATCAAATGCAAGGATGAGATAAGGACTTTCAAAATGTCATTTCACAAACTATGTCCGTGTGATGTCATGATGAGATAAGGGTCTCATCACAACTTGATTTCCTAAGATGCCACAATGAAAAAAAAAATTGGCCTGCATTGATGGACTCTGCTTGAGTTAGACTGATGAATGATGTGTCTCGCTTTGACCTAGCGTAACGGTGTTTACCATAACCAGTATTAACATGGTTGTGTATGGAGGAAAAATAGACATTTAATCATTTTCATATAGTTACAAAAACTAACAGATAGAAAGTTGCGTCAATTTTTTAGAGGCTCAACGCTGTACAAAAACATAACAACCTTTTTTTTAACCGATGTGTGACACCAAATAAAATCATAACGACATCTACAGATCCCATAATAAAACCTCTATGTAAGGGACGGTTCATTTTGTTCATTATTTACATATCTGTTTTAATTTTTGTGAGCATTTTCTAAAATTTCTTAGATATCTTTCTTTAAATTCCCGAATATTTTTTTAATATAGGAACATATTTAGAAAATTATTTACATTTATTTGAAATTGTGATTTTTTTATAATATGTGAACAATTTTTTGAACTCATGAACATTTTATTATTTTCTGATTTTTTTTTCAATTCACAAGCAATTTATAATTTCTCAATATTTTTTAAAACTCGCAACCTTTTGAAATTTGGTTCTTTTTGAAATCCTGAATTACTTCATAGAATAAAAAACAAAAACATCAATGAGAAAGTAAATAAATCATGAACATTTTATGATTTTCTGAATATTTTTTGAATTCACAAGCAATTTATAATTTCTCAATATTTTTTAAAACCACAACCTTTTGATATTTGGTTCTGTTGGAAATCCTGAATTACTTTGTAGAATAAAAAATAAAAACAGCAATAAGAAAGTAAATAAAAGAAAAAATATGAAATAGAAACAGATGGTGCCATGATCCGCACATGGGCCGGCCCACTACCACGTGCTAGAGGAGGATGGGCGCTTACGAGAGGAAAAGAGGAGATAAAAACTGGGCAAAATCATGGATCAAACCATGGTCTCCCGTGGGAAGGACTGCCGCCCCAACAATCACGCCGCTTGTGTGCTTATGTAATAGAAGTGTATCTCATTATATAAGAACAGAACCCGGCGGCGATTTTGAAATAAAAATAGATCGTTTTTCTTCACTTACGGGTGGCATTGGGGGGTAATTATTG